AAAAAAAAAAAAAAAAAAGAACTAGAATATACCACGTAGTGACTATCTCTAGGGAACCTTTTAAAGAGAGTTGTTTCTGCAAGTAGCAAATAGCAACTGCTCTTACTGTGCCTGTGTATGTGAGTGAGCAGGAGTGTGCCTTCCCATCAACACCAGGAGCACTCCTCTGTCCATGGCTGCATACAAGGGGTAACATCAAAACTGTCCTGGTAACATAGGACTCCAAGCCAAACTCCACGTCACCTCCAGAGGTGGAGACCCAACCGCTGTCACTATGTCACTGTTTCCCAGATGACTCTGCTGCACTTACAGTTAGAAAGAATTGCTATTCTGTGTGACTATCCCAATGTCTAAAGCTAGGTTCTTCAAACATTTTTAGTAAATATAAACATTTCATACTCTGTTAAAAACAGTTTTCTATCTTGTGATGACTATTTTTGGTTGTCAACTTGACTACATCCAGAATTAACCAAAACTCAAGTGACTGGGTATACCTGTGAGGGATTTTTTTTTTTTCTTAATTAAATCATCCAAAGTAGAAGGCCTACTTCTAATCCAGACCTTTGGGGTGGGAAGATCTGTGGACCTTCTGCCAGAAGCCTCTATAAAGGACATGGGAGAAGAAAGCTCTCTCTCTCTTTGCCTGCTTGCTCTTGCTCTCAAGTATATCTCATATTAGCTCCAGAGACCACTTCTTTGGGGTTTCCCATATACTGAAGACCAGCTGAGACATCCAGCCTCATGGTTTGAACTACTAGATTCTTAGATCTTCCGTTCATAGGCAGCTATTATTGGATTAGCTGGACCACAGCCTGTAAGTCATTCTAATAAATCCCCTTTCCATGTTCTGTTAGAGAACCCTGATTAATACTCATCTTAAATGAGTTACATACCATGCCTGAAAACAAAAAACGAGGTCAAAGTCAGTTCAGAACATGTTTTCCCAAGCTATGTGGGCTCCCCAGGTGGGGTCCTCTCCTACTGTGAACACTTCTGCCCTACACATGCCTGGGTGACAGCAAAGTGATCCTCAGAACTGGGTGGTGTTCTATAATAAACAGACACAGAAACCCAGAAGCAACTTATGTACTACACACTCCTTTCTATTTTTAGATCTTCTATTGAATCTTACCATGTTAATTACTATAACAACTACAGATGGTACTGACATTTTAACACTTGCAAAATATGTTTAGACTCCTTGAGAAGTTCAAGATCACCTACAAAGTAGTAGCTTTTATCCAGTTCTGTTAATGTATTATTTACATGTATAAAATCCACCCCCTTTAAGGCACAATTAGGGAGTTGTGATCGTATACACCACCACAGTAAAGGCACAGAACAAGTCCACAAGACCCAAACAGCTACTCACACCACTTTGCTGTGAACTGCCTGTTCTCACTGAGCAAGCCTGTCACACTTCTTCACCGGGCTCTGGATGCTGAAGTTCAAGCCCTTGTTGGCTGTTAAAGAACTTTTACACACTTTCCTAAGTGACTTCCTTCAAACTGAAAGGAGCACAAAGAATATAAAACCCTTAAAGGAGACAATGGTATCTAAGGAGCGTAAGTCTGACCACACACGGCGCTGAAAGTCTCTCCTTCAGATGGGCAAAAACCAAGCTCTTCTTGTCTTCACAATGACGCCAAATCAAGCAATGGCGTGGCAATCTTTGAAGCATAAAAACCAATGAAAAAAGCCTCTTTACCTGCTCTATCCGGTGTCTTGTCTGCAGATAAGGGTCGTATCTAGCACGGATAGCTCGCATGGAAGTTGGCTAAGTAAATAAGGAAAAACATATCGTGTTATAGCCATATCAAATTAAAGAAAATACCGAAGGAGTGAAGGGCTGTATTAAAATTAAATTACCCCAAGGTTTTAAGTACTAAAACCACACCTTGTATCCCACCTTCCTTTCTTAGTTTTAGCAAGGTTCAGAACATCAGGCCAGTCGAGTGTACCTCAACAGCAGGGAATCTTAAGTTTTCCTCCCATTTAAGCTTCCTACCTCAGTCATGCATACATTTGCATCCATGAATTCTTCCTAAAACCTCAATCAGAGAAGACTAACCTATTTATAAGAATAATTCAACTTTTTGATACTTTTCTGGTCCAAATTCATTTTGAATTTGATGCTGGGATCCAGGGAGCTTGCAAGTTCATGTTTAATTTACCTAGGTAACAGAATGGGTCACTTTCACCTTCTGTGGAAATGCGATGGCATCTAAAGTGGAGGTGCACACACAGATGGGCACACACACTCAAGAGAGTCATGTAGCAGAATGATCTGTGCACAAGGTCCTCATAATCACACATGGTTTCTAATGGCTCAGCAAATGGTCTTGATGCCACTGCCATACCAAACACTCTACCATGACAAAGCAGTTTCCTGGCATAAAAGGTTCTCCAATGAGCTTCTTTTTTGCAGCAGGTGAAAACTATTACAGAGATCCACAACTGGTCAGAACACAGAAGTGACAGCGAGTGCCCAACGCCAGATGATACACCCACAGCACAACTTCTACACTGAAGGCTCAGGGAGAGGTGGGCAGAAGACCAGACCGTGTCTTCTAGACATGACAGGTGGAATACACTCATGAGATCCCAACAAATGACTGTCTGAACAAGACCTGCACAATGATATCACCAGCTGGCATGCCAATGTGAATGGGGGGATTTCCTAAGGCCCTACTACTACAGGCAATAATGAGCTACAGGCAATCAACCGTGCTGAGAGGGGGAGAGTCAGTTTTCTCCAGGGACGAGCCCTCTGATAGATTATCTAATTCCCAATGGTCAACTCTAAACACGTAAAGTCCTTGTGGTTAGGAGATTGAGAAAGGAATACTATTAAAAGGTTGAAGCCAATCTGAGTTACAATGAGACACATCTGAAAAAACAAAAACAAAAACCCACATATATATGTGTATAAAAATAAATGTGGGGCAAAGTGCCAAACAGTGTTTTGACATTATTACTTAACATGTAAAAAAAAAAAGGGGGGGGGGGTAAGAAATCTGGAGCATGGAAAACACAGGTCAGAGTAGCTGTTCACTAAGTGTGTCCCTGCCAGCTCTGTAAGCCTCTAATGCCTCCAATTCCTCACTGTGAAACTGAGATAATCATACCATCTACCTTCCAAAGACTGCTGGAGGCTTGTAGTGGCAAAGCACTTGGGACAGTGGGTGGAAATAATGGCACGAAATGCTCATGGCGGCATTTCTCCAGTGGCTTGGAACACATGTGGCACTCAAAGACACACAGCACAAATGTTTGGCAAAAAGCTTTCTAGTCAGGAAAAAAGCCCAAGCGTCTAAGAATGTCGGTACTTGTCACATCACACTCCGGATCGTAGCACTCTGTCAGGACCAAGTCAAAGGCTTTACCTCATAGCCCGTGTAAGACTGGGTGGAGTACTCAAAATCTGAGTCAGGTCCTCCAGGGCAGTATCTGGACACAACGACAGAACAGGGAGGGCAGGTGAGGAGCTCAGTCCAGCAGAGTCCTGCCGTCAATTCCAACAGCAGTCCACCTGCACAGCACCGTTACCAACGAGCAAACAGACAGTAAGTCAAGGAACATGACAACACTCGCGTCCAGAACACTGCAGGCACACACCTTTACAGGCTTAATGTGGGAGCCCAGCTGTCCAGTGTGGATGAGTCTCTGCTTTCCTGGGACCCATTAAGCCTCCTACCTGAGTCATGCATGCACTTGCATCCATGAATTCTTCCCAATACCTCAATCAGAGAAGTCTAACCTATTTATAAGAATAATTTAATTTTTTGATACTTTTCTAGTCCAAATTCATTTTGAATATGATGCTGGGATCCAGGGAGCTTGCACGTCCATGTTTAATTTACCCAGGTGCCCGTTGTCCCAAGCTCGTAACCAATGAGAATTTCAGCACTGCAGCACCGTCTGCAACAGTTCAGTGCTGCAACACCTTACCAAAGATGTTCAGTCAGCATCTTAGCATCATCAGCCTGTACTGGCCAGGGCATGAGGGATTCTACCTACTAGTTTAAGAAACACACATCAGCCGGGCGGTGGTGGCGCACGCCTTTAATCCCAGCACTCCACTCGGGAGGCAGAGCCTGGCGGATCTCTGTGAGTTCAAGGCCAGCCTGGGCTACCAAGTGAGCTCCAGGAAAAGGCGCAAAGCTACAGAGAAACCCTGTCTCGAAAAACCAAAAAAAAAAAAAAAAAAAAAAAAAAGAAAAAGAAAAAAGAAACACACATCAACTTATCAAAATCCTACTTACACACATATATTCCCTGTGAAGCTGATGTGTGGACATCTGTGGGGTTTGCACATCACAGCCACAACAGCAATCTATAAAAGAAAGATTAATCAAAAAGCTATCATTGAAAAATTAACAATTCTACAGAGCGGTTACCTTAAGAGTGAAGGGGGGGATGTAACTGGAGTGGCACAAAAGGGTCTTCAGGATATGAAAAGGGGAGACTGACGCGATCTGAAAAGAAACCTGAATATCTCCCTCAAGATACGGATGGTGCTATCCCCTAAAGCCGTGTTCTTTTATGTTGATAATATTTAGAATGTTTATATGAATTGCATATATGAGCTTTGTATTTGGTTTTATGGTAAGTACAGAATAAGGAACTATTATTATTAATTTGTGGTGCTGGAGACTACATCCAGGGTCTTGAGCATTCTACCACTGAGCTGTAAGCCCAGACCTGGCAATTAATTTTTAAGGTCATGGTGATTCTTATTCTCTAATTACTTTGCTAAAATAGCCAACAAAGGTTGTTTTATATAATATTATAAATAAAACTAATCACTATTATTCAATGGACACTAGATTTCAATCTATAGCAGGAGTAGGAAGTCAGGGACCTGACTGATCCAGAGATCTATGTGCAAAACCTCAGAGCACCAGACAGAGTCCAGCTGGACTTTCCAGGGGAAAGTGCTGCTTGAGAAAAGGGCTGGCAGCAGAGATTTTAAGGCTATTAAGATATTAACACGGGCCGGGTGGTGGCGCACGCCTTTATAATCCCAGCACTGGGAGGCAGAGGTAGGCGGATCTCTGTGAGTTCGAGGCCAGCCTGGGCTACAGAGCGAGATCCAGGAAAGGCGCAAAGCTACACAGAGAAACCCTGTCTCGGAAAAAAAAGATATTAACACAGGAGGTAGGTGACCTGATAGAGACACACTAAGGCTCACATGAGCTAGATTTCTTACAGACAGAGAGGAAGTTGTACATGCAACAGAGAGAACCAGAATGAAGCCCAGGGCTGAAGAAACTGGAGTACTGATCTCCAAATACAGTTGCTGATAGGTCAAGACACCCCGAAACAGATGGAAGTGTGTTTATGTAAGTACACGTGTGTGTGTGTGTGTGTGTGTGTGTGTGTGTGTGTGTGTGTGTGTGTGTGTGTGTGTGTGTAGATTACCAAAGCAGCATTAGCTAAACCAAACTGAAAACATGCTAGGAAATGACCAGCTAACAATCTTCGGTGTGAAGATAATGAAATCAGGGAAAAACAGGACAGGTGTGCTCTGAGGAGCCATGGCAACCAGGTGCAGCAGGGATTCTGAACTGTGATGTCATTGAGACAGTGGGTGTGACGAAAGGGCAGCAAGGGACACAAGTGAAATTCCCAGGTTTTCATTTTTATTTTTTAAGAGTTTGTGTGTGGTACAAGCATTTGTTAGTAATGTATCTGCATCAGAACTGACAGCATCAGACTTGATAGCACATTGTATGTTAAAATTGTGGGGTTTAACTGTCCACAAATGTCAGAATCCAGAAGACCGGGCCACTAAAGTAGCCATATCACATTCTGATCCAGACAGCAGACCAGAAATACTGGGTCACATCAGGAACACGGACTTCAACTCTGGAACACCTTTCCAAAGGACCCTGATTCTGATTCTGCCTATTTCCGCTGGCCTCACACATCAGCCTTTAGATCTCAGAGCTTCAATTCCAATTCAGCCCCTTACTGCTTCACAGAGATTAGATCCAGAGTGTCCAATACGGCCTTATTTTTCTGAACTACTGTGCATGCCGTATCTAGACTAACTCTGAAAATCTGTCCTGCTCACATTACTGCCCTGCACAGACCCCTGAAGTGGTTTCTTGTTATTTGGTTTCTTTGCCAGTTGTACATGACTGTTTACAAGTTAATCCTAAACAAATCCCCCCTCCCATTTTCTCAAATGAACAAAATGGGAGTTCAAGGCCAGCGTGGCCTATATAGTGAAACTGTCTCAAAAAGAAAATCATCAGTCAAATGAACTCTGAGTTCCCACCAGTCTGCTGCACTCCCTGTCTGTGAATGCCAGCCCTTCATGCCCCTCCTACCTCTGCGCTTTCTTTCCTATTCCTTTCTTGCTCCCAGCACCCTCTGAGGCTGATCCCCTGTCCCCTGCCCGATCATACAAGCATACTCACAGGTCACGAAAGTGCCATGCTTTCTGCTGGGGCTTTACTTCTTCCTTTTGCTGGGGGGGACCCCAATCTCTGGACACCCACAGTGTTCCCTATTAAGAGATTTACTCCACAATCACCATATATAAAACTACCCTGCTGGGCCTGGAGAGATGGCTCAGTGGATCAGAGCACTGGCTTCCAGAGAACCTGGGTTTGGTCCCCAGCACCCATATGACAGCTCATAGCTCCAAGGGATCTGACACCCTCACACATATATGCAGGCAAAACATCAATGCACATAAAATAAAAATAAATAAATTAAAAAAAAAACAAAAAATACCCTACCCTGCACCATTATATACACTTTAAAAGTACCAACTGGAAACTATCAGCATAAGAGGGTCACCTTTGTCACACTGTTAAGTGACCAAGCCTCGACCTTTAAGACACTACAAAAACATGTGCTCCTTTAAGCACACTAGCTGGCTTGCTTCCTCCTCGGCCCTCTGAGCACCGTATGCAGATCTCCTTCACTCAAGCACACAGCATGGCAGACTTCGGGAGTCTGGACTCCCCACCACGGCCTGGCCACCTCCACCACTCTTCCCAGGGCAGTCACTCACCCCACTGGCAGTCCTGACGGGTTTTGCCTTTAACTTGGGAACCAAGACCTTCCGATAGCGAGAAGGGACTGCAGCGATGATATCCACCAGGCGGGGCTGGGAGGAAAGGCCGTACTTGGCAGCTGTCTTGGTTTTGACCCTGAAAGCAAAGCACTCACTGTTATCAGGATCACAGCATTTCAGCACAAGCTACTGAAAGGATGATGGGTACACAACATCACTAACATCTACCACTCCTCTACCCTTCACCAAGTGACAGGAGCAGCTTAACAATCTGTGAACATTAAGGAGATAAAGGACAAAATCTGTTAGCAACCTCCTTGTTTTTCTTAACCCCAAACGCCCAGAGGTAAAATAGGACTGTGGGGTGCAGTTAAGGTCTCTTTTCCAACTGCACCCCAGCTTCCACCCTAAAGAACTACCCTGACCCTACCTACCTCTTCTCAGCCTCACTACTGACATTTGGAACTGTGTGTGGAAGACTGTCTAGACATTGCCACGTGTCCCCTGAGAAGAAATCACCCTGATCAAGAACGACTTTCTTGGATAAAATATAATATACAAAAGCAACAGCAACACAAATCAAAAACCAGAGCACAAATTCTAGGATCTACCTTAACTATCGAAAAACAAAAAACAAAACAAAAAAACCCTCCATGTCCCCTCCTGACTATGACCCTATCTGTAACCCCAAGAGCATCCTTCACTCAGATAATTACTTTAATTCCTAAACCCCTCTCCCATTTGTCTTGCTATGCTCAGGTTAGCTTTGAACTCAAAATCCTATCTCTCCCCCTGAATGTTGAGATTACAGGTGTGTGCCACCATATCCAGTTTGTTCCTTAATTTTCTCTACAATTTGACCAGCTTTCCCTCTCTGTGCCCACTAGCCAAATTCTACTGGTCACATTGTCTTCTAGCTGACCCACCTAGAAATATTTGTGGGTTGCTCACAGTGTTTTCAATAAATGATAATTGAATAGCTAGCACGCACAGGCGACTAACCACATGTGTGGTATGTCAGATATGAGCCATGGTTCTTTCATGGGATGTGCTGTGGCTAAGCCCACACACATACCTACCACATGTAAAGGTTGCTTCCAGAATGCAGAAATGACATTAACACATGCTGGGGAAGTTAGGGAGACGAAAACTCAGGTCTCAGGCAGCAGACACAGGGATGTCACTGAAGACATTGTAGGAAAAGCTATAGAGTAGAATTCTTTCACAGTCAGAAAAGGACAATTACTGACTCACTTATTCCTTTAGCAAATGTTTTCTAAGCATGGTATTCAAAGAAGGGGTTGGGTACATGTGGTGAGATTTTGTTTGTACTCTAACAAATTAAACTTGCCTCAAGATCAGAGGACAGAGCCAGTCACTAGATTAAACACAGACGCCAGGCAGTGGTGGCACAAGCATTTAATCCCAGCACTTGGGAGGCAGAGGCAGGCGGATCTCTGTGAGTTCAAAGCCAACCTGGACTATATGAGATTGTCTCAGTCTAGGAGAGAAACAGAGCCAGGCGGTGGTGGCACACACCTTTAATCCCAGCTCCTAGCACTTGGGATTTCATGCTTTTGCTCCCAATATTTGGGAAGCACACATGCCATTAATCCCAGCATCAGGAAGGTTGAGACAGGAAGCGATATGGCTGGGCAGGGAAAGGAATATAAGGCGGGAGGAAACAGGAACTCAGCCCTTTTGGCTGAGGACTCAGGAGCATTCAGTCTGAGGATTCGTGGAGATAGGATCTTCCCCTTTTGTCTGAGGAGTTGGTGAGGTGAGAAGTGGCTGTGGCTTGTTTCCTCTGATCTTTCAGTATTTACCCTGATATCTGGCTACAAGTTTTTACTATAAGACAAATTAAGATTCATGCAACAGGTACAGGCACCCTAAGAAACAGAGAACTGGGTCTACAAGAAGTCACGGGACCAGGCAGTGATGGTGCACGCCTTTAATCCCAGCACTCACTTGGGAGGCAGAGCCAGGCAGATCTCTGTGAGTTCGAGGCCAGCCTG